GGTAGAACGAGTGAGGAAAAATGCAGGATCTAAAGGGTCAAGCTAGAATGAGGGTGTACTTTAATGTCAACCTGGCTTAAAAAAAACTTGTGCATACAGTATATATATTACATTCTGTACAGCTGTGCCCTTTTCTGAGTCACACTTTTTTTAAGACCCATAAACTGCATTCAAGTCATGAAAGCAAACAGCCATCAAAACCACAGCCACGGCTCAAAGCACCATTTTCCCAATTTGAGCAGCTTTTCCAAACGTTGCTCAGATGGTAATGCTGTGGGTTACGCCACCATTGCATAAGGATTTGGCAGCTTTGTGTCAGTGACAATTGGAGCTAATACTAATCCATCTTATAGCACTTGGAACAGCTGGTGGAAACAATAGTTAGATGACTGTTTTATCGCATACAAGCCATTGATTTACACATTTATTGCCAGTTTTGAACCCACTTTTTATACTTTATTTTTATAATCACCACCTACATATATGAAGACAATATTCCACATAGTTCAGATTTTAAGATGCATTTTCAAACATTCTCATTTGACATCCCAGGATTATGGCCATCTCCATAAGAGGAGCATCTGCTGAACACCTGAGTTAGCCAGACTTGGAAAGTAAATGTGGGATTTGTGCGGCTCTTCATTACTTCAACATTTGCAAGAGGAATGTCGGGTAAAAGCTTGGCTGCTTTCCCTTGCAGGAAGATTCCCCAAGAGAAAATATGCTTTTTCCTAAAAAGCCTAAATGCCTGTCCTTTTAGTAGCAAGTTGTATGCAATTTTCATATCTCAACTCATACTTGAGCTGGTTTTGTTTTTATATCCATGAAGGTCCAATTCTGAAAAAGTTAGGATATTGTCAAAAATATAAATAGAAACCGAATGTAATGATTTGAAAATATGTCATGAACACATTTTATTTACAATGGGACTGAAGTGAGAGGACTGAAGAGAGAAGACGGGAATACAAGGAGATCCAACCTAGAACAAAGAGGGAGGTAGCAAAGAAAATAAGGTGTATGATGAGTTGTATGGGAGGTTGGACACTAAAGAGGGAAAGAAGGATTTGTACCAATTGGCGAGATAGCGGGATCAGGCTGGCAAGGATGTGCAGCAGGTTAGGCTTGTTAAAGATAGGAATGGTAATGTTCTAACAAGTAAAGAGAGAATGATGGGAATATGGAAGGATCACTTGGAGGAGCTAATAAATGAAGAGAATGAAAGAGAAAGAAGAGTGGGGGTCACAGAAGCTGTGGACCAGGAAGTGGGAAAGATTAGTAGGGGTGAAGTTTGGAAAGCTCTGAAAATAAGAAGGGGAAGGCAGTAGGACCTGATGACATACCAGTAAAGGTTTGGAAATGTCTAGGAGAGAAGGCAGTGAGGTTTCTGACCCAAATATTCAATGGCATTCAATGGCATAGAGTGTGAGAGAACACCTGGGAAATGGAGAAGTGTGGTGGTGCCCATTTTTAAGAACAAGGGTGATGTACAGAGTTGTAGCAACTACAGGGGAATTAAGTTGATGAGTCAGACGATGAAGATCTGGGAGAAAGTTGTGGAAGCTAGACTTAAGAGGAGAAGTGACAATTTGTGAGCAGCAGTTTGTTTCATGCTGGGAAAGAGCACCAAAGATGCCATCTTTGCTTTGAGGATGCTGATGGAGAAGTACAGAGTAGGTCATAAAGAACTTCATTGTGGCTTTGTGGATTTAGAAAAAGCAGATGACAAGAGTGCCGAGGTGTGGTATTGCAAGAGGAAATCTGGAGTGGCAGAAATATGTTAGACTGGTGCAGGATATGCATGAGGACAGCAGGACAGTGGTGAGACATGCTGTAGGAGTGACAAAATAGCTTCAAGGTGGAGGTGGAATTGCATCAAGGATTCGCTCTGAGCCCCTTCTTGTTTGCTCTGGTGATGGACTGACTAACATATGAGGTCAGGCAGGATGGAGTGGATGGAGAAAAGTTTCAGGAATGATTTGCAACAAAAGGATGTCAGCATACATCAAAAGAAAAGTTTACAAGACAGTGGTAAGACCAGCTATGATGTATAAACTGGAGACAGAGGCACTGACAAAAAGACAGGAGACAGAACTGGAAGTGATAGGAATGAAGACGTTGAGGTTCTCTTTAAGAGTGACAAGGATGAGGATGAGGAGCGAAACGTCTTCTGTTACAAATAAAGTCCAGTTGTTTTTGTATTGAACATTTTTGAATTTATCATGTCCTGGATGACTGAGAATCTTCACTAGCGTAGTGACAAGGATGGATAAGATCAGGAATGAGATCATCAGAGGTACAGCACAAGTTGAACAACTGGGAGATAAAGTTAGAGAGGGTTAGACAGAGACAGTTTGGACATGTCCAGATGAGTGACAGTAGGTATATTGGTAGAAGGATGTTAGAAATGCAATTGTCAGGAAAAAATACAAAGAGGAAGGCCAAAGAGGAGATATATGGATGCAGTTAGAGAGGACATGAAGGTAGTTGGAATGAGGACAGAGGATAGGTGAGGATGGAGGAGGATGACTCGCTGTGGCAACACATGATGAGGGAAAAGATGAAAAAAGAAGGGACATAGTAAATAATGTTCAAACGAAAAAAATTTAAAACTTTTTTGAAAAAATAAAGGTCATTTTGAATTTTAATGCAACTCAACATCTAAAAAATAAATAAATAAAAAGTCGGGACAGGGACAACAATAAGTTGTAAAATTATTAGGTATGATTACGAAACAGCAGGAGGAACATTTTGCAAAAAAATGATTCAGATGGCAGCAGGTCTGTAAGAGGACTGATTAAAAGAGCATTTGGCCAAATGTCTCAAAAGTAAAGATCGCCAGAGGTTCAACAGTCTGCAAAAAACTGTGCATAGAAATAGAATAATTTCAGATAAATGTTTGACTGTTGTTAAAAGAAGAGAGGATGACTCATCGTGGTAAACCCATCTCAACTTTTATGAAATGGGGTTTTAAGTGTAGCATATGTCACAGTGCAAATAATAAGCATTACATTTAAAATGGCAGACAAGTTCTGCTTTGTTCTGCAGCACTGAAAATGAAAACTCCCAAGTTTTTGAAATCTGAAACTTCCTTTGTTAGTGTCATTATGTAGGTCCCTCAAGCGGCAGGTGGTACAGAGTACTGTCAAGGCTGACTGACTGAAAAGAATTTTATGAAACTCATTGGGAGGTGTTGGCAAGCCCACAGCTGTCCGCGTGTTCACTGAAATTAAACTCAAGTCAGACAGCGAGGCTTGCTCTACATTCAAAGCTGCGATTGAATAGTCAGAAATGAGCATGGCTGGGAGGTTTCAATAGTAGTTATCAGGCTCACTTTGAGGGCCTGGGGTACAGCCAAGGTCTCACAGGCATGCAGCTGCCCACTTACCATAAACACAAAGACTCAGCATGGCTATGCATGGCAGCCAGGGAGGCCTACGTTTTAAAGCAGGCTTGCTGCTTAATTATCTCATACATAATCACTTGCACTGTATACATTTGTCCAGAACAGGAGCTTTGTTGGGCTTGGTAATCAAGGCTTTCATGAATCCTGTCCAAGTTGGAAATAAATTTTGTCCACTTGAATGCTAAACCTAACAAAGTCCCTTAATTACACAGAGCTGAAGACACAACAGCAACAGAATAATAATATTACATGCTAATGGACCACAAGAGATCAGATCTAGTGGACTTTTCAATCTAAATTTACACATGATGGTGAAAAAAACTATTGATTTTACATGGAAAAATGTCTGACTATACACAAAAATGTGAGACATGTCTTAAGTGGACAATGATTGTAACCGGGCTGTTACAGGGCAAAAGATCTGAAAAGTGTGTTGAGATATTTTCAATTGTAGGGAAAGGAAAAGAAAAGAGGAATCACCTGCAAATAGGTACTCGAGTTAAAACTGTTTTCCATGATCCTGCCTGCCCTCCAGGTGGATGGCTTTCAGTTTCACACAAGAAAAAAGCCCTGAAAAATGAGCTTGTGTGAGTGATCGGCACAAACTGGTCCCTCAAACTCATTTCTATACAACCCCTCGTGTAAGAAAAATAACTCAAAGGGATATGACTTACTAATTATAGATTACAAAGTGCAGCAAATGTTATACTGTACTTGTCATCTACCCATATTTGACATGTCCCTTCCAAACGGGTATGAACTTTTAACAGTTGTAATCACACCCACAAAGGACAGAGGAATTCAAGTTTAACAATGTTTTTGCTTATTATCCCAATGTGTAAAGCCAGCCCTGACTTCATACCTGGAGGGAAGGTTTGCTGATAAAGATAAGATGTAAATCCACTGCCAAGAACACAGTCTGAAACCAAAAGTCCAAAAAGGACAAAGCCACAAACTAATGTGGCGTCAGACTTATTCATTCAAACAAGGCATACATTTGTCATCAAACATCTCGACATGCATGCCTTGAACTGGAGGAAACCAGATTGAGATCAAAGTGTGCACCCTTCTTAATCAGAAATTTCAAATAAAAATGCATTTTATGCTAAACTTGGTAAGCGAATATGGTTTAATTAAAGTGTCAAATAAGCCAAGTACGCTCTTTTTATATTTACATATTTTATATACATATAGTAACATGGTTTCTGATTAGCCATATACATGTGTACATACAAAACAAACTAAAGTGAATCAACTATGAGCCGACATTATTATGTTAATAGTAATTTTTATGAGCATTAACACGAAAAAAACAAACAGGACAGCTAAACGTTAGGAAAACCGTTGCTAAGCTAGCTTTCTGGAGTTTAGCCTCTTTCGAGAAACTTATTTTACAACCAGTCACTTCAAATCAATATTTTCATATATATATATATATATATATATTTATATATATAAAAAAACGCTCTAATGCGCAAATATATATATATATATTTCAAACCACAAGTAAGTTCAAGCTATTTTTGTGCATACATGTAGATGCTGGTAAGTTTTCTATCGCAATAATCTTGTTATTTCGACATAAACTATTACTCACGAGCATTACGGTGAGCCTCCTGATGTTTCTCCCACAGCTCTGGGCAGCTGCTTAGTTTCGTCTTACCCTGCTGAGTTTTCTTTTAGTAGAAAAACAAGAAACCAAAGCAGGAAGCAAGGCGAGCAGCTCACTTCCAACACTGGTGCAAACTACAACTTTACCCAAGTACTCTACTATCCGACAAAACTACACGCTATGAGCCCGTGACAACATACACCGGCGATACCACTTTACAAGGGGGAGAACCGCTTTTACTGAGTTATTTATACCTTAAAATTTCGTATTTGGCTCAAAATTTTTTATGTTACTTGACGTATTTAAATTTTTTTCCTCATTCAGTTGAGGTTGACATTGAAAAAATATTAAGTATTTATATTTAGTACATGATTGTAAAATTTTTCACCCCCACACTTTACCAGTGGGTCAATCCACCCTGAAGCAATGAAAAGTAATCAGTTTTCGAGCAATGCATAAACACAAGGTAGTTTCATAATATACAGTGGTGTTACACGAGAAAACTCCAAACGTATTATATAAAATACACAGAGTGAATAACATATATATGTGTGAATTAAATAAACATTTATAATTTCACTAAATGAGTTCTGGTCGAGCAAAAGGTATAGTCCAAATAAATCCAGTCATTATAAACAGATGTTCAATCAGAAACTAACATATTTATCATATTTTACATCAGCACTATTATTTTACCTTATGCATTAGTAAAAAGTCTAAAATAATTAGGCTTAAGTTATTCATTTATATATATACACACACACACACACATACATAAAAAAATACAGTGCAATACTACACAGGCAAATACATTTTCCCAAGGAGATTCAAACTTTTATTTATTTATTCTTGGATTAACCAAGAAAGCAAATACACTTTTAATTTTTAAACCCCTCTACCAAGTAGGCAGTGGTTTCCAAAGTCAGAGTGGGTTGTGAAACAAGTGAATGGTCTTGAGACAATATTTTATTTGTTAATAGCACTTTTTTTTGTCACAGCTGTTGTAAAAGTAACAAACACTGGCGTTAAAGTAATAAGAAATACTTTTATAACTGTTTATAGAGTGGTAGCTACCAATGTGGTTTATGAAACACCAAAGGGCATTCTTTATATAATCACCAAATATCATTTTACGTTTAAAAATAATTGCTTGCGATCATTTTTCACCATAATTATTACAAGGCGTTTAATCAGGAGCGATAAATTAATAAAAAATGTACTGTAGATGTTGAAGCTGTGTATGTCCTTGTTTAATAGGATAATGAGCAAAGCTTGTACAGCATATTTAAACCAACAGTAGATGGGGTCTAACTTTGTTGCGGGTCAGAAACCAAATTGTTTGGGACTCTATGATCCAAGGGACATACATTTTGTTAACAGTGCAGCTTGTGTAAACTGTACTTTTGCTTCTCTTTCTGTATGTTTGAGCATCTCATGCTATGTGAGATTTCAATATGGGACTAGCAAACAATGTATGAACTGTAGAGCAAGTGGCTTTAAGGACAACAAGTCCTAACATCACATGCAGTAAATTAAGAGACTTTTCGCTGCACTTGGCCTCATCAGGGTCTGGGTGGGAGCTTTAGACTCACCCCTGGCAAACAAATTGTTAATCAAGGAGTAACATCTGTTGTGTTCTTCTAATCTCACCCATACGGTCCCACTAGGTTTTAGACTGTCTGCTTTCTTTGTGTAAACGGCAACCCAAGATTTATCTTTCACACTAGGGCAGTGTTGTACTCTTTAGGATGCAGATAATCACATTTTCTCTGTGGTACATGTTTCAGGTTTGTCTGTGTGTGTTGCGACTCTAAAAACCATAGGGGGCAGTATCCACTAAATATATATCCATGATAGATTCTTAATCTGTGGAGGCAATGGCTTGATTTTCTTATATTTGTTTAATTTTAATAGCTTGACTTTAGCTTGCTGTCTTTAATAGACCCCCCCCCCCCCACCTGCTGAATGCCATCTGTACTTAGAGGCAGATGGTTAAAGAACTCCTCTTACAGGAGCCACCCTTCTCAACTATAACAGCTAATCCTCACTCATCACATGGAAAAACTAGTTATATTTCAAACAAATACAGCAACTTTGCTAAAACTTTCATTCAATGGAGTTAAATCAAGAGTGTAAATCTATCTGAGAGAACAAACACACGACATTTTAGTTTGTTCAAAAGGCCAATCATTACAACAAAATAAGTACAAAAAAGGTTCAATCACATCATCTGGACAAGTTTCTTTTAGGGAGAAACATTTCAGATGACACGATTTAACCTTTTTTTTGTATTTATCTACCTGGATGATTGAGCTTACAAACCTTTCTCTGGATCAAAACAAGTAAAACAGCAGAAATACACAAGTTTAAAACAGCTGTTCTGTTGTAACTCAGTGGGGTGCTGCCACTTCCAATCAGCAGATTCAAAACTGAGCATTTGGCTTTTATGGAACTCAAATCTAAGTTTCATTGCTTTCCATCTATCCAGCTAATCCTCCCCCGTGATGTTTATAGTCAAGTTAATTGATCTGGCACATCTCCGAGGGCTCTAATGCCAAGTCTTTGCCAAACGGTGCAGATTGCTAAAACTCTCCTCTGTGTCTGAAAGAGGAGCAGCTGTTTGTCCAGCAACGGTTCAGTGAGGACCGTCTGGATGGGTTAACTGCAAACAACGAGCGACCAAGATCAGTGCAAGAGTTGAAAGAAAATTAAAACTCTTATTGGAAGATCATGCCGCTGTTCACCAGTTAAATACTATTACAACTTTCTTTTGGTTCTGAATTGGTAATTTAAATACTTGTGCTAAAAGTTGACAAAAAGTGCATTATAAAAAACAAACAGATCCTACACTCAGAACTTAAAAGTAGAGAAATTGCATTTCCTGCACAAATGCAGTGTGAATATATGGCAGAAAAACTTGCTGAGAAACGGCTGAAATTAGCTCAAAACATGCTGAACTGTAGCTGAAATGGAAGAACAAGCTTGAATTAGCAGAAGAAAACAGAAAAAACATATTTGCTGAATTGGGTTTAAATAAGCAGAAATGAGCACAAAAATTAGGAAATGAGCTAAAAAAGCTTAAATTAGCAAAACAAATAAGTAGCTGAAAAGGCAGAAAGAAGCTTAAAATACCAGAAGGAAGCAGAAAGAGCTGAAATTTGCTCAAAATTGTGGAATTAGTTGAAAAAGATAAAATTAGCATAAAACAGCAAAATAGTAGCTGAAATAACTTAAAGTAGCATAAATAAGCTGAAAGGAGCATAACAAGCTGAAATTAGTAGAAGTTAATTGGGCTGAAAGTAGCAGAAATTACCACAAAAACTTGAATTTAACAGAAAACAGCTGAAATTAGCTTAAAAAAGTCAAGTTAACTGAAAAGGTAGAACAAGATTAAATTACCAGAAGAAATCAGAAAGAATTTGCCCAGTTAGGCTTAAAAAAGCAGAATTGAGTGCAAAGAATTAGAAATTATCTGGAAAAAAGAAGAAGTTGAGATTAACAACCAAAAAAAAGCTGAAAAGTAGTTTTAAACAAAAGGCAGAAAGAAGCTTAAATTACTAGAAGAAAGTAGAGAGAGCACACTTTTCATAAATTAGGTCGAAAAATGTTTAAATGAGTGCAGAAAATGTGGAATTAGCTGAAAAGGCTAAAATTAGCGTAAAACAGCCTAATAGTAGCTGAAATAGCAGAAACTTGCATAAATAAGCTGAAAAGAGCATAACAAGCTGAAATGATCAGAAATAGGTTAGAAGCACAAAAATGTTAGCAGAAAGAATCTAAAAGGATCCAAAACCAGCTGAAATTATCTGAAAATAGCTGAAAAAATAATTGCTAAAGGAAGCTGAAAGAAGCTGAACTGGAACAAAATGTGAAAGGAGCAGTAAAAGGTTGTAAACAGATCTAAAGATATGAAGGATGTAAAATAAGTTCAATTCATTTCTTAAGAGAAAAAAGTGGCAGAAAAGGCTAAATGTTTCAAAAAGCTAAAGTTGCACCAGTACCAAAAGTCATAGCACCCTTCTCCTGAACGTTTTGATATACGATTTGTTGAAATAGCGCAAAATTGTGGAACGAGAAAGATGCTGAAAAACATACGGAGGAAAAACAGATCACAATAGTGTGAATGCTTCATAAACATTCACACAATAAAAGACCTTGAATGAACGCACATCGCTCACTGCCTTTCATGCTGGTGTTTTAGACTAATATTATCTTGTGCTAAAAAAAAAAAGATTGAGCTGTAAACACTGCTCAAACTGTGAAGATAACGAACACTGTCTGATGTGAGCAGCAGATTGGTCGAGGAACAGTTAAAGTAATGAGAAACACATTCTTTAAACCCAGTGACTCACTTTGATAGAACATTTCAGGCACAGTAGCATAATGTTACGTATTTTTTGTGTAGTGCATCATATGATTGCAAGTTTATAAACAGTACAAGTAAATTTATTTTCAACGTTTTGCATATCGTCTCCAAAACAGACACTGTAACAATGATGTGCATTAAGTTAAACCTACAGTAAAAAGGTGGACCGTTATTGAGCAGATTGCACAGCTTTTGCAGATCCCTCTCCGTCTGCATCCTTCCGTTCGTTCTCCATGTACGCGTGCACGGACCTCCACAGCGCCCGGATGTTGCCCTCGCCAAAGCCCGTTGCTCCTCTTCTCTCTATCAGCTCCAGGAAGAAGGTGTCCTCAGCAAATATGGGCTTGGTGAACACCTGAAGAAGATATCTGCAAACGCAACAGAAAGGTCAAGACACACAACGATAAACGAGCATCTGCTTCCACAAGCTTTTATTTTGAAATTATAAAATTGATGCGTCAACACATTTATAGGTATTTTGTGATGTATTGTGGTAAAGGTTAAGATAATGGGAGACACTGGAGCTTCTGATTGCATCTCACTTTTTGTTTTCGCTGCGATCTCCCCGAGATGAGGGGTCCTGGTGCAGGTCTGTATCCAGAAGAATCCCATGCTGCGACAGCGTCTGAGGGCTGTGTCCTGCCTCCTCTATTTCCTGCTGTTTTCCAATCTGTCACAGCAGACAGCAAGTGAACAAAAGGGCATACCATGATGGTTTGCATACAAGATAATGATCCTAATCACTGGAATGCTGTTAATTATAATCAAAGGCTCATTCAGTTCCAACCTGTGTGTAGTAGGCAGGAGGAGGGGAGAAGAATTGGACACCAGCTTCAGCCATCCCATTGGCAGTGGAGACTATGTTGTTGGTGTAGAGCCCAATGTGCTGGATCCCCGCTGCCTGGTGCTGCTCCAAGAAGGTGTCGACCTGGTTGCGACCTAAAATAAAACAAATATCGATGGTGCAATTGTGAGTTTTCATGTCATAAAACATAGAAAAGTGTGCCATAAGAAACCCAACAAAGTTAAGTCTGGAAAGTTTCTTTGTTTCGTCGAGACGTTTCGTCCTTAATACAAAGGACTTCATCAGTCCAAAGAGCCACAACAAACTGAGTCCCACAAGCAGCACACTCGCATAGTGGGCCAACCAGTTTGATGAAGATGGTTTCTGGGGCCTGTCCTCTCCCACTTCGACTCCTCTGAGGCAACCATAGCCAAAGTGGTTCAAAACATGAAAGTTCATGCTCAATAATCCAGGAAAAAAAAATCCAATGTTAAGTCAAGTCAACCAGCAAACTGGTTGGCCCGTTATGTGGCCATGCTGCTTTTGGGACTGAGTTTGTTGTGGCTCCTCGGACTGATGAAGTCTTTTGGATGAAGGACAAAACGTCTCAACAAAACGAAGAAGACGTCCAGAGGACCTGACTGAACTTTGTTGTTTTTTTTTTTACCTGGATTATTGAGCATGAACTTTGATGTGCCATAAGAAAGTTTTTACCACTTTATAGATTTCCTCTATTTTGGTGAGTTATTTTTTAATTTTTTAAAGCAAACAAACTTTAATATCGAACAAAGACAACATGAGTAAATGCAAAAGGCAAATTTTGAGAAACCGTCCAGAGGACAGGACTGAACTTTGTTGGATTTTTCTACCTGGATTATTGAGCATGAATAGGCCTGTCACGATAACAAATTTTCCTGGGCGATTAATTGTCTCAGAAATTATTGCGATAAACGATAATATTGTTTGAAATTTGACAATAATTAGTAATTATTGTCAAATTTAAGAAAAAACGTTTAAGTTGTTTTGCGTGCAGTACCTTTTATCGATCACCGGATGGCAGTTTAAGACAGTTTGAACTGAAGGATGGATAGTGAGGGAGCGAGCAGCGTGTCTTTTTAAGAAAAATGGGAGGGAGGCCCCTTGACGCGACATGGGCTGTCTCTCTTCGGTTCTCAAAATGGTAGATGCTCGGTGTGGTTTGAGCTCTTTAGCATAGCACTTTTCACACAAACTTTTAATTAAAAATCAGTAAACAAGTTCTCAGCTTCTTTTTACAGAGAAAAACAACTTTTTACACTAAGGCACGGGTTTCAACCGTGAATTTTGGAGCTTCGACAAGACGGAGGTTTTTTCCTCCCGAGGTCAGCCTATTAGCTTAGCTTGTAGCTTAGCTGCTTTAAACGATCCAAAAACGCGATTTTGTACGGTTAAAATTAATTTTAAAGAGAAAAGAGAAAGGGAGGGGTCAGTGAAGAGCACCGGAGTTGAACTTTTTATCATCCAGTGTCTTCAGTAAAGAGAGAGAGAGACGAAGAAACGATAAAGCTGATAAATGAAAATGAGGTTGATAATTTTCATTTATCATGCGATTAATTGATTTATTGTTTATTGCGACAGGCCTAAGCATGAAAAGGCAGTTTTAAAATGATTATTTAATTTATTAAAAGAAAAAAAAAAAAAAACCTATTCAAATCAAGCAGGCTCTGTGTGAAAAAGTAATCACCTCTACCACCTGGCCTAAAACATTTGTTGTATATGGTGATTGTTTTGGATGGTTGTGTTAAAAGTCCACTTTTGAGGTTTCAACGAGGATGGCTTGAAACACAGCAGTGAAGGATACCTATGGGACCGATCTGGTTGGCAGGCCGTAGACTGAGGAAGTCCTCTGGATGGGGACGAAACATTTCTCCCTTAAAGAAACTAGTCCAGATGACACGATTTAACCACTGTGGATGATTGAGCTTACAACCCTTCTTCCCATGAGTAGTTGACCAAAATTACTTCAAAAGCACTTTGACAACTTGTTCAGGAGGTCCCACAATGACATCTACATCACTACAGGCCTCACTCAACTCAGTCATGATTAAACAATCAGAGAACTGCAAAAATGTCTTCCATATGTGGGGAGGGGGGGTTCAAGTCAAACACCAAGTACTCTGACATTTGTCAAAAATACATCTTAATCATCCCCAAGACTTTTGGGGAAATAGTCTGTGGACTACTGAGACAAAACTGGAACGTTTTAATAAGATTTGTGTCCCGTTATATCTGGTGTAAAACTGCATTTCAAGAGAAGAACATCACATCCACAGTCAAACACGGTAGTGGTAGTGTGATGGTCTGAGGCCACTTTGCTGCTTTTACTTGAATGCCTTGCAGTGATTGATCAATCGTGAATTCTGCTCTCTACCAGCGTAGCAGCAGTTGGTTGGTTTGACACAGGGCCATGTTGGTTTGGATAGCAAAAGGCAAAAACAGATGAAATCCGTCATCTAGAAAAGAGGGGGGGCAAACATTACGACCTTATAAATGAACACATCTGAAAAGATTTGAGTTTGACCTTGATGAGGGAGTGATTCCGCAATGACAAACTTGCAGTCGGGCTCTTTCTGGTGCACGAAGGGCAGAGCGATGCCCGCTTCGCTGCATTTCCAGAACTGCATGGCAGTGAGTCGTAGTCCGACGCCCTCCTGGTTCACCACAAAGCCTTCATCCACATCTTCATTGCTGCAAAAAGATCAAAACGTTTTGGTCAGAAGAAACAAAACACGGGTTGATTTGATTAAATCACTAACAGTGTCTTACCTCCCAATGAAAAACCTCTGGGAGCCAAAGAGTTTCTCATACCACTGCATGACTTGGTGGGTTGATTTCCTGGGACAGGCGTAAGTTATGTGATCAAAATGTGTGACAGGACAAGGCTCGTCTTCTTCTTCCACGCTCCAGTCACTGTCCGTGGCATTAAACCCGGGCAGGAAGACCCCCTCATATTTGGTCTTGTCGATCAGCGTGTGGCACACGTTCCCCACGATCGACTTCACCACCGAGTAGGTGACGGCACCGTCCTTGTCCTCCACAGTCGTGGGAGGCACCAGGAAACTGCAGCCCAGATGGCGGAGAACCTTGAACGACCTTTCCACATCCTCCACCTCGAAGCACACGTTGCTGACAGAGTCCACCGGGTGGTGAGGGTGGACATCGTAAAGACACGACGGGGAATTACGCTGCTTGGCTCGGTGTAGATCTGCGGGATGTTTGGGGGCTACGCCGTCCCGCCTACCCGCCTCCTCACATCCCGGGCCTTCATTCACCACGAAAACCGCCGCTCCTTTCCTGAAAGCAACCTGCCTGGACCTGTCGGTTATCCTCGTGGCAAATAAGTTGAAATTATATTTGGAGACGAGGTCGTAAGCTAACTTTTGTCCGTTGTTAACGTGGAGCGAAACATGATGTAACCGGCGCAGGGGGACAGCCATCTTCTTCTTCTTCTTAATGGAGTTTTATGGCGGTTGGCAAACAACGGAAGGTGTGCATTACCGCCACCTACTGGTATGGAGTGTGGATCAAAATGGCTTTATGTCTACATGTTTATATTCTCTTTTCTAATTTTGTGTTTCTAAAAAAATGTATAATGATTCGAATACTTTTACTTGTTATTTCCTTTTGCAATATATTTATTATACTAAATGTTTCTTTGATTTTCCCTAATTGTTCTATCATGCGCCTTCTGTGATGTTCATATTTCTGACAGACCAAAATGACATGTGCTATTGTTTCCTCCTGTCCACAGTGTTCACATTGTCCTGTATCATGTTTTTGAATATTGTGTAGTGTATTGTTAAGGCTGGTGTGTCCAAATCTTAATCTGGTTATTAGTCTTTCTTCTCTTCTGTTCCTCCCTCCTGTTCTCATTTCTCCCACTTGTCTCTGAATTCTGTAGTACCATCTTCCTTTGTGCTCTTCTTCCCATTGTTTTTGCCATTTTCCCTTTAGTTTTTGTTTCACTATAGTTCTTACTTCTGATTTGCTGATAGATATTGTGAAGTTGATTTGATCTTTTGTTGCTGCTTTTGCTGCCCTGTCTGCTGCTTCATTTCCTCTGATCCCTATATGTGCTGGTGTCCATAAAAATATCACTGTCAGTCCCATCATTTGTATTCTGAATAATGTTTGTTGTAGTTCTAGTAAAATGTCCGGTCGGCTATCTGAATGACTATTTTGTAAACTGATGAGTGTTGAGCTTGAGTCTGAACAAATGATTGTTTTTAACGGTCTTGTTTCTTCCACCCACTGCACTGCCAATAATACTGCCAACATCTCCCCTGTGTACACGGATACTTCATTTGTGATTCTTTTCCTTACTTCTATGTTGAATTCTGGTATTACATATGACACTCCTACTTTCTCTGATGTTCTTGATGCATCTGTATAAATCTGTATATAGTTATAGTAGTTATTGATATAGTCCTGTACTGTATATGAATTAAAAATAAATCTCCTGTCTTTTTTCTTGTCCATGAGTGTCAAGTCAACAGTTGCATTTGGGAGAATCCAGGGTGGTATTGTTGGTAATGGTACTACTGGGCTGATGTCTAAGTTGTGTATTTGCATTTCTTTTGTTTTCTGGTCTATTATCCATCCAAAGCTTCTTGTCTCTTTCTTCTCTTTCTCCCAGCTTGGTTTTAAAATATCTAATGTTGGGTGTTCCGGGTTATTTCCTTTAAGATTGATCCAGTAGTTTATTGCTAGTTGTTCTCGTCTTATTGCTAACGGCATTTCTCCCATTTCTACTCCAAGTGCTGCTGTTGGGGTGGTTTTGAATGCTCCTGTACATAGTCTTAATGCTTGGTGTTGTATTTTGTCCAGTTTCTCCAAATGTGTTTTTGCTGCTGATCCATAAATTGCACAACCATAATCCATATTTGATCTGATAAGTCCTGTATATATTCGCTTTAATGCAGTCCTATCTGCACCCCATTCATTCCCAGCTAAGCATCTCATAATGTTTAAGACTTTTTTACATTTATCAATAATCTTTTGTATATGTACATTCCATATTATTTTCTCATCAAACCATATACCCAGATATTTTATGCATTTAACTTGCTCTAGTTCTTGATTATATAATTTCAATTTAAACTCTTCTGTTGTTCTTTTCTGTGTAAATACCATTACTTTAGTTTTGTCCACTGAGAATTTGAATCCCCACTCATTTGCCCATTTCTCAATTTTTAATATAGCATCTTGTATTTTTTTCACAGTGAACTTTATATTTTTCCCTCTTTTCCAAATGGTTCCATCATCTGCAAATAACGAACATTCCACCCCCTTCTCAATCACTGAAAACACATCATTTATCATTATGGAAAACAATAATGGACTTATAATACTCCCCTGCGGTGTTCCATTTTCCACAAAATATTTCTTTGAATATTCTTGTTGTATTTTTACTTGTATTGATCTTTTTGTTAAAAAGTTTTGTATCCATCTAAACATTCTTCCGTTAATTCCTAGTTTGTACATTTTAATTAATAATCCTTCAACCCATAACATATCGTATGCCTTTTCTATGTCAAAGAATACAGCCACCACACTTTCTTTATTTATCTGTGCTCTCCTGATCTCGTGCTCTAACTGTAATGTTGCATCATTGGTGTTTCTCCCTTTTCTAAAACCACTTTGATGTTTAGATATGTATCCCTTACTATTCAAATAATACGTTAGTCTATCATTAATCATTTTTTCCATTATTTTACATATATTTGATGTTAGTGCGATTGGTCTGTAATTTTCCGGCTTTGTATGATCCTTTCCTGGTTTTGCTATTGGTACGATGACTGCTTCTTTCCAGCTTTGTGGTAGTTCCCCCTCTTCCCAGACTTTGTTGTATAGTTCTAAAATTATTTCTTTGGATTTGTCACTAAGGTGGTCTATCATGGTGTACCATATCTGATCTTTTCCAGGTGCTGTTTGTTTTGTTTTCCTGAGTACTCGATTTAGTTCTGCTTTTTGAAAGGGTTCGTTCAATAAATTATCAGTTTCTTCCATATTTTCCATTAAATCTTTGTATTTTAACTTTGTTGTTTCCCTCCCTCTCATTCCTTCATTACTAATATTATTGGAACTATGAATTTTACTGAATGTTGTTGCTAGTATTTCAGCTTTTTCTTTATTATTTACCATTTCTGTGCCATCTACTTTTAATACTGGATATCCATATTCTTTTTTGATCCCATTCATTCTTTTGATCATTTTCCAGATTTTTTCAATTTTTGTTTCTTTTCCTATAGTATTACAAAAGTTTCTCCAATATTCCCTTTTTGCATTCTTTACTATTTTTCTTACCATTGCTTGTTTTCTTTTATATTCAATGAAGTTCTGATAATTATGATTTGTTTTTAATGTTTTAAATGCTTTATTTCTTGTCTTTATGGCTTTGTTACATTCAATTGTCCACCAAGGTACTATTTTCTTTTCGCTCGTTCTTCCACCTTTTTTTATTGAATGTTCTGTAGCTTCCTGTATAACCTTGCTTATACCAACATTTATACTATTACTATCCATTGAAAGATCTATTTGTTGTAGCTCTTTATCAGTAAGATATTTGAATTTATTCCAGTCTGCTTTATTAAATAGTAACTTTCTATTTCCTTCTACTTTGTTATTTTCTGGTTTTATGCCTATTGAAATTTTGATAGGATAATGATCACTACCCATTACTGTGCTTTTATCAATATCCCACATACAAACACCAGCTAATGAATTTGACACAAATGTAAGATCGATTGCTGATTCTGCTCCTGTTCTAACATTTACTCTTGTTCCCCTCCCATCATTAACACATACAAGGTTTTTATTTTCTATTACTTCTTCCATTATTTGTCCATTTCTATCATTACTTTTCCCCCAAAAAGTACTATGTGCATTAAAGTCCCCACACCACACCACTTTCCCATCCACATATTCTAATACCTCCTCCATCACTTCAAGTGACAGTGCCTTGCATGGGTTATAGAAATTTATGATCTTATACTTTCCTTCATCTCCCCATATTTCCACTATTATGTATTCTAATTCTGTTCCTTTTTTTAATATTTGATATTGAATTCCTTGTTTTATGAATGTTCCACATCCTCCTCCATTTCCTTCCTGTCTATCTCTTCTTATGCAATTATATCCTTTGATGACGAACTCCAAATTTGATTTTAACCATGTCTCTTGTATGCATATGATTTCTGGTTTATTATCAAATCCATCTATATATGCTTTAAATTCTTGCCCATTTGCTAATAAACTTCGTGCGTTCCATTGTAGTATTATCATATGTTTTTGTCATTGAGGTTTCCTGACTTCCCTTCTGTTTCCAGTCTTTTGTTTATATTTTCCCATGACATCTCTTTAAATCCCAAGAATTTTTCAGCGCCTCTCACAATTATTTTAATCTTCTCTGTCTTGTGTTTAACCTGATCAGTACAATTGATAACGTATGCCATAAATAGAATAAGTTTCTCCGTTGACATTGAAATGTTTTCTTCTGGTTGATTATTTTGTTGTGGGGTTTGATTCTTTATTTGAGCTGTTTCTCTTGTTTTTGGTCCTTGCACATTCTTGACTGCTTCAGCATAGCTTATGTTTTTGGTTATCTTAATCTGTTGGATTTGTACGGCCCTCTTCCTCACCTCACATCCTCCATAATTGACTCTGTGCTGTCCCCCACAGTTGCAACACTTTTCTTGAGCTTCTTCCCTACATTCTTCATATCTGTGTTCCTCTCCACACTTGGGACACCTCTGCTTCCCTCTACACACCGCCGCCACATGTCCATAACGCTGGCACTTGTAGCAGCGGAGTGGAGGAGGAATAAAAGGCCTGACTGGAAAGCTCATGTATCCTATTTTGATTTTTTCCGGTAACACATCATCTGCAAACTCTAATAAGACGGACATGCTTGCCACTCTTTCTCCATTGACTGTTTTTAACATTCTTTTTATATTTGTAACCTGTGCTCCTGCAATGCTTCGTTTTATTTTTTCCAAATCCTCATCAGTTGGTATACCTGTAATCACTCCCTTAAAAGTTTTGTTCTCTCCTACCACCGTTCTTTCTGTTATTGTCTTTTTGCAAATGTTTTCAATTTTTAATGCTTTATTTTTTTGCTCCTCTGTTTTACAAATTATCATTAGGTTTCCATCTCTCAGTATTTTAGCCATTTCTACCTCTCCTATTTTCTTTTTTATTTCTTTTGATAGAAAAATAGGGCTAATGTTTCCCTGTTCATCCTCTTTGTTGAATCTTAATATTATCTTGACTTCCTCCCTCACCATTTTCCTACGAGTCACTCTATCCTCATCTGAACTATTCGCTTCTAATCCTCTTTTATTTCCTTGGCTTTCAGACACTGCCCTGCCCTCCATCTTGCCTCTGTCACCTTCCTTACCTTTCCCTCTCCCACCTCTGACTGGTGTCCACTCCTCAACATTCATGTCATCCTCTGAATCTCCTACCTGATGCGCCATTTCGATCCATTCACACACCAGTTTATGCCAAACCTCCAAAGGATGTTCTGGTAATGTTTTCTGATTTGTTTGTTGAAAAACGCAGCCAATGTCGCTAACCAGCAGCCTTCCAACGCTCGCTCCTGAAGCTTCCCGACGGCGAACCTTCCTCCCACCTTCCGGGGGACAGCCATGTTTCCCAGCAGCACGTTTTGACAGCCGGTGAAGCAACACGCTGATTAGGGCGGAGTCAAATTAGTATGGCAAAATCGTGTAGCATATAATCACACACGTCCTACCATACAACACATATAGCTTCATATTTTTTTTGTTCTGGTGATAATGATATTCTTACTAGTCGGAAAAACAATATATATATATATATATTATAATCAATCAATCAATTCAACTTTATTGTCCATAACATTCAATGAAATGGAGATTTGTCTTTGACATCTGGCTTATAAAAACAAAATAAAATAAAAAAAATAAAAAAGTGATTAAAAAAACTTTAAAACCAAACTTTGCTACATCAATTTAAAACATTCAGTTAAAACCATTCTAAGATACACGATACATTAAAATATGGAAACATCCCAGCAGACAGTAGTTTGTTATGTGAGGCTGCGTTTAAATAGGACCTTGTACATTCACCGCAGAGGGAACAAATGACTTTTTGTACCCATTTTTCTTTGCTAAAGGAACCAGGAGTCTTCTGCCAGATGGTACCAACCTGAATAATGGTTGCAGTGGATGAGTTGGGTCATTGTAAACCTGTATTGCCTTTTTTTTTCCAGTACCTGACTGTACAGGTTTAATTGGTAATGGGTTTAATTTCAACCAGTAAGATTTTATTTCACATGGAAAGTAGTTTTGATTAAATATAAAATCCTTAAAATCGTACAAAAGACTGTTTTAACATTTTATGGCTATACAGGTAGTACATTTACAGACTAGTTATTACAAAATAAAAAGCGTTCATCCCATCCACAATCAATGTCTCAAAGATCTCAAACTATTTTGATTTTCTAACAAGGTTGAGTCAGGTCCTCTGGATGGGTTTTTCTTTGTTGAAAAGTTTTGTCTTTTAGCTAAAAGAATTCTTCAGTCTGAGGAGCTGCAAGCAAATTCAGTAAACAGCACTGTGGATCAACAAGTGCAAAGGTGATGTTAATAGGCTAAGATTGCTTGCAGCCCCTCAAACTGAAGAAGTTTGTTGGATAAAAGGACTTAATTGAATCATGTTAGATTTTTCTACCTGGATTATTGAACATGCATCAGGAAATGCTGATTTGCATTATAATGCAACCATTTGAACAATTGATATTCTAGTAACATAAACCCAGATGTCCACAATTACATTGCCCCCTGTAGAATAACCACCACACATACCAGAAACAGAACTAATATGAGAAGAAAATGGCATTTTGGATGTATAGCACACAGATTTTACTAGTGAGAATATTCATTTGACATGTTTTAAAGTGACATCCTGTTAAAATCTTAATGTATATCCAACATGTCTGTTGATAATTGTAATTAAGCTTCTGCTAGTCATTCATTTTTGAATTTGAATTTAAATGAGTCCTTGAGGCTCAATGGGATTAACCTGTATAAAAGGGTGAATGAAGTATTAAGTGATATCTCAAATCACAGGTCAAAGGTATTGAGGCTCATTGGGATTAACCTGTCCAAATAAAGGTTGAATGAACTGAATGTCCCTTAAATGATTTTACTAACATAAACACATGCATTATTATTATTATTGTTATTATCATTATTATTATTGTTGTTGCTGTTGCTGTTGCTGTCTATGTACAAACAATTTAAAATTACTAGGGTTGTAAAACATAGAGCCCAATATGACTTCTGTTGTGATATATAAAGAAATTGAATTGAAAATTTAAGTAATTCTGGACTGGCAAAGAGTTTCAAAGTACATTATGCAAATATTTACCTGGTACTTGGACTTTTTAGATGTTATTTATTTTATTTTTAATTTTTGTATTTGTTTGCTTTTCATAACGCATTCTCTGTACACAAACCACAAAAGGTGTTGCTGAGTTTTGACTGGATACTTGTGAAAAGTAACAAACTAAAATCACAAACAAGAAAAGAAAAACAAGTATCAACGCTAAAACTGTTTTTTTTTTTTTTTTTTTGGTAGTTATGGAATTTCACAGTGGTTTAAAAAATTCCGATGACTCCTGAAGGCACCACGCTGCTCTCGCTCATCCAATCATATCGCGAGCTCGCCCAGATGATTGGTGACGAAGGCTAGCTAGCGTTTATTTTGGCTCTGCTTCTCGCTGGTGTTGCTGTCGTCGCCATTAAACTAGACCGAGGCAGCGTAAACTATGAAGAGCGGCGGAATTGTACCATAATTTGAGAACTTCGGAAGCCTCGTAAGGCTTGTCTTGTTCCGCTAAAGATTATTGTGTCCGTAAAAGTAAACATGTGAGCAACCGAAGGAGTCCAAACAATACGGATTGGGAAAGGTTTGATTGTGCCGGAGGAGGAGGAGGAGAAGGAGGTGGGTAGGGAGGGGTGGCTGGGCAAGAAGGGTTTGTTGTGGTTTTCCGCAGCATTTGAGACGAACACAGTCACGAAAGGTAAGGCGTTGCAATTTTTTTTCTTTTAATGTTCAAAATTGTTCAATGTTTTCTGCATTAATATTTAAGAGCTGTTAGTTGACAGTGTAGTGTAATGTTAGCTACGAGGTTAGCATGCTAGTTAGCTACTTAGCTTAGGCTAAAGACTGGAACATCCGTAAAAAATGCACCAGTCATGTGAAACAAATGATGTTATTCACACTCTGTATCGTTGCTTAATTAATACAGGGAATGTGCAGTTTCTATCACATTAAACTCGCTAGCTGCCAGTTTCTTTCAAAAACGACTAAAACCATATGACTAGCTGTTTTCTGTATTGAAGCACTATGATATCAGAGAATTAAAAACGTGGGGACTCATCAGATAATGTAGCATTTAGAAAAAAGAAATCGCATCCTTTTAAAGTTCGATTTTTGTCGTCATCATTCTACAGAAACTGTTGATTTATTTTTGTTTGTTTTAACAGGTCAAATATTTGCTTGGCTAGGGTTAAAATAATTGAATACAGGACCTAAAAATACTTTTGACATTTAAACTTTAAGCTTTTGACATTTAAACTTTACTTTTGACCATGATATTTTGAATTGCCATCTAAAGTTATTCCTACCGTGATTTAAATCATATATTTTAAGTTGTGAACAAAGTGTTTCCATTGAGAAATGTTATTTATATTATTTCAGGCGTACTGCATGGCTTTGCTCTTGGCCCACTTTTTATTTTAAATATAAATGAGTCACTGTCTGTATCTTATGGATCATTTATTTTAGAAATAAAACTCCCAGTTTCCAAGGACCATTTATGTAATCATCAACAACCACTACTTTTTTTCATTTTTATACAATGTTAATACAGTTTATATATATATAGATATAGATATATATATATTTATTTATTTAGAATAAGTGTTCTGTGTTTATTTGTTCAGAGTGTAATTTTTAAACTGTCTTTCATGTAACCAAAGGGCCCACATGGGGATGGGTATTTTTAAACACCAATTTCTGTGCTTAAAGTGATAAGTCTTTGTCTGGATTCAACCCACCAGGAATACAAGCTACCCACAATGACGGAGCCGCGGGTGAAGTGGGCCTGCGACTATTGCACCTATGAGAACTGGCCTTCTGCATTCAAGTGTACAATGTGCTGTGCGTCGAGGCTGAGGGGTCCCATCATCACGGAAGAGCCTTATAAAAATAGTCCAGATCTGGATCCCAGTCTAGAATGGGACCCTCCAAGAACTGAGAGTGGAAGCAGTCTTCTCATCTGTCCTGACTCCAGTGCTAGACCCAGAGTCAGGTCTGCCAGCATGGCTGAGATTGCCAATAAGTGGTCATGTCAGATGTGCACCTATCTCAACTGGCCACGTGCCATTCGCTGCACGCAGTGTCTGTGCCAGCGCCCCAGGACAAGTAGCCCCACAGAGTCCCCTCAGTCTTCAGGCTGCCGTCCTGCTGTCCACTCCCCTGTGGATACGTGTGAGGAGTATAACGACAGGAACAGACTCAACACCCACCAGCAGCACTGGACTTGTACAGCATGCACTTACCAGAACTTGCCCAGAACTACAAAATGTGTTCTGTGTGACCTCCCCAAGCCCAACAACCAGGAGTCCCTAGAACTGCCAGACTCTGCCGAGTCCGCTCCCCTGATCATTGAGCAGGATGTGGCTCGACGGAGGGGCGGCTGCAGTGGAAGCCAGAGCCAAAGGAGATCCCCTCCTATGGCAAAAAGGGAGGACCGTGTCAAGATGGACTTCCAGAGGATAGAGCTGGCAGCTGGAGCCATGAGCAAAGAGGAGCAGGAGGTGGACTTCAAGAAGCTGAAGCAGATTAGAAACCGAATGAGGAAAACAGATTGGCTGTTTCTCAGTGCCTGTGCTGGTAAGTGTTTGCACTTTTTGTAATACTGGTACTATTAATGGAAAGACTTAAAAATGATTAAATTGGCTTAGTTCATTTAAAAAAAATAAAGCAAAAATAACATTATGCACTTTCTCATGCAATATTACACCCTCAGAGTATGTGTGGTGAATGGTGCTCAGCTGCTACCTCATCAAACTTTAGCTCAGTATCTGTAAAATTCACTGAAGTGTAGCCAATTTTGTATCGGCTAAGGTCAATTAGCTGTGGTGGCCATCTTGAATTGAGTCAACTCCCAAAATTTAATCATTTGTAAAGGTCAGTTCAATGATTGATGTTTCTGAAGCGTCATTGATATTTGTTCTGTGCTTCATGAGATATTTTGCAAACAGTACAGACAAACGAACACAGACATGGACAATAACGTGGTTGCGCTGCCTTTTGCCTTCGGCGGTGGGTGATGATTATTATAAATAGCAGCACAAGTAAGACTCAAAAAGCTGATCCAACTGCCAAGGCCCTTCTGCTCTTGATGTGCCACTGAGAGCATCGTTGAGAACCTGAGAGGGGGTGAGTGCTTCCCAGCTGGTGTGGATGAATGAGCCGTCTGGGCTGAGCAATGAGACTGGAGCTTGTGGACCAGAGTCTCTTCTGGCTGTGAGTCAACACACCCGGTAAACAGTGGCCCCTATGTTCTGACCGTGGGCCTCCCAGAGACAAAAATAGCCTTGACAAATTATGAGAAACTGTCAACAAAAGAAAGCAGGAAGGCAGCATGTGATCAGCAGTACACTCGTGACCTTTGCACTGATTGCACCGATTGCACTTCACAGTTTACTGTCGGGAGTAGCTGTTATGTCACTGTGAGACTTTGTTTTTAAATGTTTTTTACTTCTAATCACCCACTGCTGAAGACAAAAACAAGAAATTTGGTTGACATCTACAATTGCAGGTGCATCTGAAAAAGTTCATATTTTTTCCAGTCATTTCAGAAAGTGAAATTTTATATTGCATAGATTCATTTCACATGGAGTGAAATATTTCAAGCCTTTATTTCTTGTAATTTTGATGACTATGGCATATAGGTACCGGTAATCAAAATTCAGTGTCTCAGAAAATTAATTACATTTTAGGAATTAGACATTTGAAGCTCACGTCTCAGGAGTTAATTAGTTGATTAGGGTGTGACACTGTTTCCAACATTGAACCTCTTCACAATATTGAAAATTTCTGAGATGCTGAATTTGTTTCTTCATCATTTATAAACCATAATCAACAAAATTACAAGAAATAAAGACGAAGTATTTCACTCTGAGTAATTCCATATCATATGAGTTTCACTTTCTGAAATGAGTGACAAGAAAAATTGAACTTTTTCAAAATATTCATGTTTTTTTAGATGCACCTGCATAACTTTAGGAGTCAGTCCAGTTCAGGATGGTCTTTACAGCACAGCAGTCTTGGCAAACAAAAAGGGTTACAACTCTGTCAATTTTACAGACATTATGTTTAAATTTGGAGCCGACAGTCATTAATAAAACATATTAACGTTAGTAGATCATGAGTTGAATTGCAATATCATGAATTTGTGCTTAATGCTTTTTTTATGGTTTTATCAAATTGGCTTAAACGCCCTCGTTTCTCAACATCTTAGTTTAAAACTGTCATGAATAGTGGCGGGCAATACACATTCGTTTAAGGAATTCTGGGCCTTTTTAATTTAACCTACATCCCCTTCTCTGATTTAGTTCCTAATAATTATGCTGCTTTTTAAAATTCATACCGTGTCAGCTGACTTGCACGTCATGTTCGCTTATTTCTCTCAAAGTGTTTGTCAGTGGAGGAAGTGCTCGAGTCGAGCAGCACAATTTGATCAATGCCGACCACTTCCTTCGATCTGGAACGCCCTCTCCCATTTCTGTTGTTTCAGAGCTTGAACCACTTTAGTGTCATTGATTCAAGCTTCCCTCAATAGGAAGCAAACCCTGTTTTTGTAATATTTTCTTTGTATTATACAGACGGCAATTTTTTTTATTTCACTTCCCTGAAAACACTTAAATGGTTCAAAGTTGATGTTGCTTGTGATGTTTATAGGATTAGAGAGGGACAACATCCTGGAGCTTCACTTTCCCCTTAAGTGCTAAGAATAGTCTCGTATCTGAATTTTTGTCTCCTCAGCCAAAGAGTATGAGCAACTCGTGACAAAAACTGAGCCGAATAATGGTTGAATTTGTTTGCAGAAGTTGTGTAACAACATTTTTGGCTGTAAAGTTGTTACTTTCTATCAGTGATGAAATAGAAGCTGTTTGTGTTGTTGTCCTGCTGTGACTTCTTAGAAAAGAATGCTTTCCTTTACATTGTTCAGGGTCCAAAACATGCTGTCACACTTTTACAACTTTCATAATATGGAAAAGTGGACACAATGCTGGGATCAGGAGTATCGTCATGTTTTCTTTGACATTCTTTGGGTCAAACTGAACAGGGAAAGAATAACAAAGCTTTTGTTTTATGGCTGGTCTTTTAAACTGTTTATTTTTATACCTTTTTTTTTTTTTTGCAGCTGAATTTTAAGGGAGTATTGAGATACTTCTCTAAACTTTCCTACCCTGTTCTCTGCAATGTGCTTTTGAGATTGTTATTCTCATAAATTTCCTACAGGGAACAAAAATAAGTGGCTGAATTGTTTTATTCTTACTGAGAATGTGACATGTTTTAAATTACAGGTACTAGATTTTTTTTCATCCATCCATTTTCTTTACCCGTTTATTCCATTTTGGGTCACGGGGGTCACTGGTGCCCATGTCCAGCAATCACTGTGCGAGGGGCGGGGTACACCCTGGACGGGTCGCAAGTCCATCACAGGGCCAGATTTTTTTTTTTTATGCTTTGCTAGTTGCTACCTATTGTAGAAACCAGACCTTCTTTTTGTCTTTTAATGTATCTGAAGTCCCTGAATCTTTTTCTTTCGAGTGCTGGCTTCTTTCTCACTCATTTTTCATCCAGTCCTTACGCCTGACAATGATGGTGTGTGCTTAAAGATTGGGACTAGGGAAGGACTAAAGGAAGAGTTGTCTTTTAAAAACTTTCCAAAATGGTTGAAGTGAAAGTCAAAAAAGTAAGATAAATATCCAGCAAGACACAATACTTTCTAAAGGAAAAAGTTTTGACTTCTTTTAAAGGGTGGCAACTCACGTTGTTGTCTTGCAACTTTAATGGGGTTCTCAACTTTCTTGTGTGAGTCGCAAAGAACACACTATTTCAAGAGAGAAATTGCCTGTGTATCTCCAACCCATCTTAGGAACACTAGTGCTGTATTTTGACACCTGCGCTGTAATTGTTTATCTTGTCTCATTTGATCAAATTTTACCCTGGTATTTCTATATTGTTCTTAAGATGCAGAAGCTTTATTTATGTTTAAGCACTGAGCACCTGGTCACTTTTAATCATGTTGCATCTACTATATGTTTATGTCAAATGTCTTAATTTTGGAAAGGGAAAAGGGAGCTGACAAACTTCACTGTAATCAAATCTACCAGAGTATAAATAAAACGTGTTGTTGCTGAGGTGGGCAACAAAATAATGTGCATGGCCGAGAATGTAGCTTTGCAAACAGTGCAACTTGAAATGGGCGGTCGTTTTTCAAAAACGTGTCGCCCAAAACGTGGCAACGCGGCTTGCTGGTCATTTACATTTAAACAAGAGTTCAGTGAACCTGCAACGGAAAATTCTTGTTTTTTTTTTTTTTTTGCAATATTAAGTTGCTAACTAGTCTACCAAGACTCACAGCCCAGTTGCATACCAACTAAAGAAATTGGAGATGACTCTACGCTTTTGCATACCATTGTACTTTTCCACCAAACTGACTTTTCACTGACCTGTACTTTTAAATTAAATATTTACAACCCTTGAAACCCACAACTTTTTTTTTTCTCTTAAAAATGTGAAAATGGAGAATATCTGATTTTAGATGCTTGCTTAGTTGCAGATTTTACTGTTATTCCAAACAGATTAATCAAACCAATGGACAAAATATCAAGACTAGTTCATGTTTAAAAACTGTGTTTTTCATTATCAATACTGTGAAGTATATACTTTGAGACAACATTTTTCAGTCGGGTCATCTGGACAGTTCCAGATGACCCGACTGAAAAATGTTGGATTGTATACCTGGATTATTGAGCATGGACTTTGTTGTTATATACTTTGATGTCTTCATGTAAGATTAAGTCAATAAATTTATTGTTTTAACAGCTTTTTGATTTCTACGATCAGCCGTTATATATTTCGGGTCTTTAGACATTGTTGCTGTTGCAGAACATCCCAGCCAAAATGATTCTGCGTCTATTTATGGATCTGTGTTTGCAAAATGTCACCGAGCATATGCAACACGAGATGGGAAGCTCTCGAGCCAGCTTCACTCCAGTTTACCCTCCTCTTTTCTGGCAGAAAGAACATCCTCACAAAAGAGTCTGTTTACAGTTGCCACCCCCTCTGTTCTCCATGTACCACCTAGCTGCTGCACATTTAGCTCATAACAGATGTTAAAACTACAGGGTCCAAATGGAGAGAGCAGGGGGTGCTCACACTAATCTGCAGAGCCTGTCCTCTGACTGACATGGCTATCAGATAGCTCTGAGTTTTAAGCTGCACTGCGCAGTTTGTTCAGCTTGTAGCCTGATGTGATGACTGTTCTCACACCCTAGAGGCATCTAGAGGTCATCAGAACTATACTAAAGCTTGTGTGCAATCAACTCTTGCTAATTTCTTCCAGACGTTAATGTAAATAGATTTTGACGGTGAAGAGATGTGTGTGATGTGTATTAAACATGACCAGCTGTCCTTGTTGCATCTTGATTCTTTTACAAGAAACCTTGAGTTGAAACTGCTCCAAGAGCTAAATTAATGCACTTGTTATGACTGGCTGCAAAAAGCCAAATCGATTTATGTTTTTCCTGCATATGTTTGTGCGTCTGCCTTTTTTACTGTCGTATCTCATGATCCACTGAACATGTTTGATGAAACGGGCAGAAAGTTCATCTACCACTGGTTAACATTTGAAGTGAATTCAATTGACATTAGCCTGCACAGTAATGGCTCCAACGCAGTCAGTTTTGCAGATAATAAGCTAAAACCATGTTAGTAGCTGAAAGTAATTCAGTGGTGAGTAGATCGTTTCAAGGTTTGACCAAAACGACTGCAACATTGTTTCTTCTCAACATATCTTTTTCTAAAACCCTTGCATGAAAGGTGGTGGGCTTTTTCCCCCAAGGAATCCTCGTCCTTAAAAAAAAAAAAATGTATATGCTTTTTGTAAATGTATTCACATGTGTTGGTAACATCCATGTCTTGTGGAAGAAGTTTTAAATAAGAAACCCCAAGTATTTGGAATTATAAGTATGCATATGCTGGTGAAGATTCTCAGTCATCCAGGACATGGTAAATTCAAAAAAGTTCAAGACAAAAACAACAGGACTTTATTTTGTAACGGAAGACGTTTCGCTTTTCATTCGAGGAGCTTTCTCAGTTCAAAGAACATAAGAGTGTGGGGTTTGAGTTATAAAGCTGAGGTAAGCTAGATTCATATGCAGATCGCCCTATCACTCCTCACAAAAGGAGTTCGTTAGGGTCTTTGTTAGTCTGATTCACAGAAGAGCCGTATGGTCACATAGATAAAATTCCTGATAGGTGTGGAAAATAACTGGGTATCAGGCCTTTATAGCATTATAGGTTTTAGAAAGTTGAAATCTGAAACCTCCTCAGTTTAAAGATGGTTTCTCTAGTTTTACATAAATGGCTTCCTTTACTCCCCTCTCAAACTGTCTTCTCAATCCAAAATGTGAACATTTTGGTCCTCAAATGAGTATCTCTTATCCTTGAGGTGTAGGTGAAACGCTGAGTCTTGTCCTGAAAAGGTGGCTCTCCTGAGTTGAGCCATGCGTCTGTGAAGTGACTGTTTGGTTTCTCCAATGTAGAGATCTGGACATTCCTTGCTGCATTGAACTGCACACACTACACCACTCTGTTTGTGTTTGGGTGTTTTGTCCTTAAGGTGGACCAGCCTCTGTCTGAGAATCCTGTTGGGTTTGAAATGTACTGGGATGTTGTGTTTGGAGAAAATCATTCTAAGTTTCTCTGATACTCCAGCAACAAATAAGTATGCATACATTAATTTGTACCTTGCCAATCAGAACTGGATTGGTTTTGAAAACTAAATATGGTTAGCATGTTGTGCTGTATAATGTGTGTTATGATGTCAATATAACCTCCATCCTGGTTTTCCCCCCTCTCTGCTGCAGGTGTTGTAGAAGGAGATCTAGCAGCTGTTGAAGCCTACAAGTCATCTGGGGGCGACATCGCCCGACAGCTCACAGCTGATGAGGTCCACCTCCTCAATCGCTCCTCTGCGTTTGATGTCGGCTTCACCCTGGTCCATTTGGCTATTCGCTTCCAGAGACAAGACATGCTGGCTATCTTGTTGACGGAGGTAGGAGCGTGTTTAGACCTTTCAGTTGTTTCGTCTTTTCTCCAAAAGACTTCTTCAGTCTGACTGAAGAGACTGAAGTCTTTTGGAGAAAAGATGAAACATTTCAACAAGGACCTGACTCAACCTTGTTAGATTTATCCACCTGGATTATTGAGCATGCATCAGGACATTTATACTGTTTTAACTTTGTCATTGATACAATTTTTACCATACTGAATCATGCACAGCTGGTGCTTTTATCTGCAGCAGAAGTGCACTTAGAAAATTACATGGAGGATTAGCCTGGCTTCACTCACGGACTCCTAATGGACAGTTAATACAGAGCTGATGTGATTTGCAATGTGAGGAAGCAGCAGTTTATAGAAGTCAGAGAATTAAAGAATGAAACAAGCCACTGAGAATGGAAAAGAAGGCTAAGTTTTCACAGTAGTTCTAATCCTTGATTAAAAAAATCTGTTTGGTTTGTATTTGTCACATGCGATGAGTGCAGAAACAACAGAATACTTCAGTCTTAAAATAAAAAAAGTATTGACATATGAACTTTAAACACAGTTCAAGCCTGGTTGTAAAATTTGCATTTCGATTTTAGATGCCATTTGAGTACAGCTATAAACGTCCTCAATGGGCAATGGAAAACTTTTTCACTCAGACCACCTCTGGACTCTCTTTTTTTAATCTGCATATGTTTGGTAGGGGGGCAGCACGGTGGCGCAACTGGTAGAGCTGCTGCCTCTCAGCGAGCAGGTCCCTGGTTCAAATCCCGGTCCGGGGGCCTTTCTGGGTGGAGTTTGCATGTTCTCTCCGTGCATGCGTGGGTTTTCTCCGGGTACTCCGGTTTCCTCCCACAGACCAAAAACATGCATGTTAGGCTGATTGGTAACTCTAAATTGTCCCTAGGTGTGAGTGAGAGAGTGAATGGTTGTTTGTCTCGTTTGTCTCTATGTGGCCCTGTGATGGACCTGCGACCCATCCAGGGTGTACCCCGCCCCTCGCACAGTGATTGCTGGACATGGGCACCAGCGACCCCCGTGACCCAAAATGGAATAAACGGGTAAAGAAAATGGATGGATGGATGGATGTTTGGTAGGCTGAGGACAGTCTGTCCTGAATAGGGATGTAAGTCGACATATGCCCCTTTTCCACCACTCCTACTCAGCCCCAGCTCTGCTCAGCTCCCCACTGAAAGATCACTATTCAACCAGTACTTTTTAGCTGAGTCGGCACCTAAACGTGACGTCAGAACACTGTCGGTCACTGATTGGTCAGGGGGAGGAGCCACTGGATCTCTTTCAGAAACTTTTCAACCGCTCCGCCATTTGCAGTTTCTTGGAACTCGGACGAGCGGCTGGATCTGTTTTTAAGATTTTAAAAACAATGACAACACCGTGTTCAATGCTGAAGTCCAGGCATTTTTTGTTTGATGACCAACGACAAAATTTGAGCAAGCTAATCGCCGCGGAGGATCATACGAGCTGCCGACTCGTTGAAGCACGCGAGGCCATGGCCCGGACCTCGGCCTCGCATGCTCACAAAGGCCGGATTCTGAGCCCTGGCAGGTGGGAGAACCGGGACGGAGGGTGGAAACTTTTTTTTTTTTAAATCAGTGAAGAATAAAAATCAATAAAAAAATGCTGGTTTTATCACAAAATCCTGTTTTCACTTTGACTTTATTAAATAATCTGTTAATTAAAGTTAACTCAGCTGAAAATCATAAAAAGACAAAATTACTGGATCTTTCAGCAATATTTCCCTCAAATATGTTTAAAGAAGAGATGCAGCCTTTATCGTCCATCATTAAACAGGGGTGGAGGCCTCCGTGTTCAATTGTCCCCCTCTTACAATGCTGTGATTGCTAGTATCACTCAGCCCCCTGTGAACAGTAAACAGCCATCAGTGTGCTAATGATCCATTGTTAGGCTGATGGTCCTTCTTGAGCATGTGAGCAGCTGGTTTTAGTTGTCAGCAGCAAACTGGTTGATCCACTCTGAGAAGGTGCTATTTAAGAGACTGAGCTGAAAACAGCACCTCGGACTGAGGAAGTCTTCCGGATGAAAGACGAAACGTTTCTACTTTTTTTGTTGTTTTGTTTTTTGAATGTCCAGAGGACCAGATTTAACTTTTTTTTGGATTTTTCTACCTGGATTATTGAGCATGCATCAGGAGATCCAGCCTTTAGTTCCAACTCTATTCTAATCCACAGATGTACAAATCACAAAACAAAAATTACACTTTAAATCAAAGCTAAAATAAAATCTGTATACAAGAAACAAAACCACACATCTAAATTGAGCAATAAAAGTAGATGCAATGAGTGCAAATGCATCAAATGATGAAAAATAAATACATTTTTTTTTACATATACTAGTAGATGTGTTTTGTAGAATCTGGTTCATCAGATTTAATTTAATTCAGTTTAATTATATAGCTCCAAGTCTCAACAGAAGTCATCTCAGGGCACTGAACAGAAACCTTCATATTTACAAATAATAATTTAACATTATTTATCTGAGGAGCAGACTGCTTTGAGTTTTAACTCGTCGCAGAACTCTCACTTTTAATGGTGAACTAAAGTTCATTAATAGGATTTTGGATTCTGGACACACCTCCAGAACCAGTCCTGAAGTGCGGTGGAAATCCTCCGTGTAAAGATCTGATCTGAGCAGGGCTGAGTAGGAGTGGTGGAAAAGGGGCATTACTGTACTGAAGTGACCTCATAAAAGAAGCAGTTATGGCTTGGATGCTTCAAAGAGCTTCAGCTGCTGCAGTGTTTCTCCTAGAATTACAAGGACCTTAGCCCGCCTTCTTAACGGAACTGCCTGCCTTGATATAAAGATCATGACATTTAAAAAATAAATGTTCATATATGTTCACACGTGATGAATTCTGTGTGGTGGGGGACACCAAATATCTTATTTTCCCCATTAACACCTCTCCTCCTGCACTGTGCTCCGACCTCCTGGGACTTTTGTATCTAAAATTGATCTATTAAATGTTAATGTCCTTACGGGCCCTGCATACTCCATCCAAAGCTGCAAAATAATCTTAGTGATTTAGTTGCATGATGAAAATTGAGTCTTTTTTTTTTTTTTTTTTTTTCTCGGAGTAGTTTCGCTCCGGTTCGACACAAGGCCCGGACCTAACTTTTTCTCACCGGCAAATGCTCCAAGTATTGTGTGACTGCTCAGAAGTTTGTGAGCGTGTTTGTCAAAGCAGAAATGCACTCGGACATTCAGATGTACGACTCTTCACACTAAATTAGTCAAACGAATAAAAACTCGTGGATGGAGATTGTGCAGGTATTGTATATGGAGGAGTCTGTCTGCTGAAAAGTGTGAAGCTTTCTTCATGATGGGTATGTGGTTACACGTCAGATGTATGGACGGAGTGGCGACTCTGGCGGGAAGAAACCCGTGCAATTATGTATTCTGCAGCGGGAGGAGTTTCCCAGGAGCTCTGTCTTCTCAACTATGGAAGGTGTGTGGGAAAACGATTGTCCCGCAACCACATGACCACGAGTCGACTGTTCTGCTTCGGATGGAGTATGTTGGGCCCTTAACGGTTCAAGCATTAAAAAAAAGTTTCAATATAAACAATTCAAATAGATTTAATAATTTTTTTTTAATTCAATCCTATTCAGTTCAGTTTATTTATATAGTGCCAAGTCACAACATGCGTCATCTCCCTTGAAGAAAACACTGCAGTTAAAAGCCGCCCACGCTGTAAAACACAACAACAACAACAAGCTATAAACTATTAAAACAGTTGTCCTGATGCGTGCTCCATAATCCAGGTAGAAAAATCCAACAAAGTTAAGTTAGTTTTTCTGGACAGATTATTTGGAAGAAGATTCGGAAGAATCCGTCCAGTGGAACTGACTTAACTTTGTTAGATATTAAAATCGTTATTAAGAACAAAATGTATTCCTTATACAACTCCCACTTCCTCCAAAGGCCATAAACCTAGGGGAAACACTGTGCTGCTTGCTTAAAGATAATTATGCAGCCATCCTTGAGAATGATACAAAGAAGATGCTTATATTGTTGTTTTTTCAACTAAATGTTTTAATGGCATGTTTATATTGGAACTCTTTTTCAATTAAATGTCCATTTTGTCAGAATTTTATTAATATGGGTGGATTCCTGTTCTGCATGGTGAGTTTCTCTATAGTTTATCGTTTGTTGTAATTGTTTTAGAGCTGATTGAACCAGCTGTGGTCACTGTAAAGTAAAATATGCAGTGTCAGTGACAGGACAGTATGAGTGGTGTTATGCTGCTGTAAACTTTCATAAATAAATGCAGCATTGATGTGAAGTTTGCATTGAAGCTGTACAACTTCACTGCTTCACTTTAATGCCGTTTTATGGGTTATAAATCTTCAGTTTTTGCTCTGATGCTGAGCTCTGTGAAGTCACTAATCATCTCATGTACCTTCATTTTACTCAGCACATTTGTCAGGTAATTAAACTTTCTGAAAGTTGTGTACGACGATGCATAATTGCGACTCAAATGGCTCTTAGCAGTGTTGTCAAAATATTAGTTTAGATGTATGAATGTGTTGTAATTTTACAGAAACACCAGCAATCCTTGTATATGCAAGGTTTATCATCGACATCAGTGGCATAAACATTTTGAGGTGCACGTTGGATGTAATTAGATCACACTGCTCTCAACCACCTGTAGCAGAAGGACTCTTTGTGGACTTCACGTCTGCCTTCAACACCATGATCCCCCAAACCCTGATGGACAAACTATTCACACTAGGACTAAGTTTCTCCATTCACACTGAGTCCTAGACTCTTTAACAAACAGACAGTGAGGATCCACAACTTCTCCTCCTTCACCATAACCTTCAGCACTGGCTCTCCTCAGGGATGTGTGTTGAGCCCCCTCCTGTTTACTCTGCTCACGTGTGATTGTGCAGCTACCCATCCAGGCTGTCATATTGTAAAGTTTGCAGATGATACAGCGGTGGTGGGATGCATCATAAACGACAATGAGTCCAGCTACAGGCAGGAAGTGGAACACCTGGAGAGCTGGTGCAAAGCGAATAACCTTCACATCAATGTGACAAAAACAAAAGAGATGATCGTGGACTTCAGAAGGAGCAAACACACCTATACCCCCCTGAACATAAGAGGATCTGTGGTGGAAGTTGTCTTGGGTGTACACCTGCATGACAACCTCAGCTGGAGCAACTACACAATCAGCCTGATCAAGAAAGCTCATCAGAGACTCTACTTCCTCAGGCGGCTGAGACGAGCTGGTCTGGGAAGCTCAGTCCTCACCTCCTTCTACAGGTGTGCAGTGGAGAGCATCCTGTGCTCGAGCATCAATGTGTGGCATGGAGGCTGCACAGCTGCAGAAAGAAAAGCTTTGCAGAGAGTGGTGAAGGCTGCACAGAAATCTGTTGGAATCAGCCTCCCCACCATCACAGACGTCTACACCTCCAGAAGCAGGAAGAGGGCCACCTGCATCATGAAGGACCCCACTCATCCAGCACACACACTTTTTGCCCCCTCCCCTCAGGAAGGAGGTTGAGGAGCCTTAAGTGTAGAACCACTAGACTGAGGAACAGCTTCTACCCTGAGGCTGTTAGACTCATGAATCTCTAACTAGAATAATCACTGTGAAAAATCACATCATGTTGCTGCTGATCTGTTTCAATGTTGCTGCTGATCTGTTTCATGTTAATGTGTTCATGCTCATCTGCTCACACGGACTCATGTTCGTGCTGTTGCTCGACGTAATGTTTTTATGCTACTCTTGCTTAGTGTATTATTTAGTTGACGTTTTTCTTAGTTATATCTTAGATCTTGTTACTGTTTTTTACATTTTATTGTTGGATGTAACTGGGACCCTGTGTACATGGTATCGCTCCACCTTTATGTACCACATGTGGTGCGAATGACAAATCTCTGACTCTGATCACCCAAGACGATGTCGATGCAAGATCTAAACAGGACTTTAGAGTCAAAAAGATTATTCACAAAGAATAAGGACAAGAGTAGTCATTGTAGTTGAATGTCCTGCTTCAGGTTTCCCTCTGCTGTCATAAAGTTTCACTCTGACGTGGTGACAATTGTTGTGTAGTAGTGACCTTAAACACAAAATCTGTTATTTATTTATTCATAAAAAAAAAGATAATCATCTACTCCTGTGTTGCCGTCTTCCTCTGAGGAAGTCCTCCACTAAGTCATTGAAATTAATTTGCTGCTGTTCTATTGAGCGTATATTATCAGTGCCGAACAAACACTGTGGTTTACAAATGGCTTCTGTAATGCTCCTCTGGATTAATAAGCTAATTAGCCTAGCCCTAATTACATCGACTCACTTCTTGGTTTTACCCAGTTGTTGGCAACGAACTTGCAAAACAAACTTTCATTTGTGCATCAAAAGTAGATCACATGGAAATGTTCACTTGCTGCAATTATATTATTATTTTATTATTTAACTCTGCAAGTTTTGGGGGAAAATGATTTGTCTCAAACTCATTATTTTTATACTTTCCTAAATTCCTTGGTTCGTTTGTTTTTGATGGAAGTGGCTGATAAAAATGGTGTCAGATGCTGTAAGTTTGATGAGCTGCTGCTCCGCCCTCTTGAAACTATCTTCTGTGTAAAAGTCAAACGGACGACTCTTATTGAGCAGGATTGTACTATGTAACGAGGAAAAACACGTTTTCTATATTTTAGAAGCTCTCGTTGCAGCCACTGTAATAAGAGTTAAATTGCATTATTGGTGAATAACTGTAGGCGACTTCAGAGGAGTGACAGAAGTTATTAAAACATGCTGTAATGAATAGATTGGAGTTTAGACCAACATTATTCTGGTAAGTTGCATGTAATCAATGTTTTTTATTTTATTTATTTATTTTTTATATTAAGGTGAACCAGCAGGCAGCAAAGTGTATCCCCTCCATGGTCTGTCCTGAGCTGACGGAGCAGATCCGCAGGGAGATTGCAGCGTCACTACATCAACGCAAAGGAGACTTTGCTTGTTACTTCCTCACAGATTTGGTCACTTTCACTCTGCCTGCAGGTATTTATGATGTGGCATAATGATTACATTGTTGGCCTTCCTTTAAAATGTTTAGGGCTGTTGTCAACGATAATTTTAGCAATCGATTAGCCGATTGTTCGATTAATCGAAAACAGGATTTGTCAGGTTCTGCAGTAATTACTCATTTTATGAATAATACAAATACATGAAAAAGAACATTTAAGTAAACAACCCATTTAATTCCTCTTTTTAAAATATTTTATTGCTGAAATTGAATTATTTTTAACCATCACAGAACAATCTAAATGCTGTAAAATATTTTTTATAGATTGGAAAACCGTTAGAAACTGAGTAAGTAAGATAATTTAAAATGTTTGAGTTTGTACATAGAGCTCTGCAAACTGTATTATTATTTAGTCTTGATTTCTTAGCTATAAACAAATATGCCAGTAGTAATAAATTTGCAATTTTGCAGATTAATCCCAGTTTTCAAGTCATAAACAGCAGTAGCAAGGAAAAAAAATCCTACTAACTCATGTAAATACATGTACACTTGAAATATTCACCCTTAATATCTCATTTAAATCAGGATGGAAGTACAGCAATACATAGATGTGTTTCAGCTAGGCCTGTCGCGATAAACAATCAATTAATTTCACGATAAATTAAAATTATCTACCTCATTTTCATTTATCGGCTTTGTGTCTTCGTGTCTCTCTCTTTCTACTGAAGACACTGGATGACAAAAGGCTCAACTCCGGTGATCTTCACTGACCTCTCCCTTTCTCTTTTCTCTTTAAAATCTGTTTTAACCATCCAAAATTGCGTTTTTGGATCGTTAAAAGCAGCTAAGCTACGAGCCAAGCTAACAGGCCGACCTCGGGAATAAACCTCCGTCTTGTCGAAGCTCTAAAATTCACAGTTGAAACCTGTGCCTTCATGTAAAAAGTATTTTCTCTGCAAAAAGAAGGCGAGAACTTGTTTACTGATATTTTATTAAAAGCTTTGTGTGAAATGCTATGCTAAAGAGCTCAAATCGCCGAGCGTCAGTCATGTCACCATGGCAGCCCATGTCACGTCAAGGGCTCTCCCTCCCATTTTATTTAGAGAGATGCTGCTCAAACAGTCGTATACTGCCATCAGGTGGTCCAAAAAGGTACTACATTCCAAACAAACATTTCTTCTAAAATTTGACAATTAATTATTGTTAAATTTCAAACAAATTTATCGTTTATCGCAATAATTTCTGAGACAATTAATTGCCCAGCATAATTTGTTATCGTGACAGGCCTAGTTTCAGCTCATGCCGTCAGTCTGTTGCTGGGCTTTTATCGTTGACAAACGCATTAAGTTCTGCATATTTGTTTGTTTCTTTCTTTCTTTCTTGCACAACTTACAGACAACTGCCTGGTAGCCACTATGATTAGTCGGTAGATGTAAAGTTAGTAAAAATATGCCTCGTTTTATATCATTAACATGGCAGATTGTCACACAATATGTTAACATATTTTTAAAGAGAACATAAATGATACCTGTTGGCAGCTGTGGATGAGTTCAGTGCTACAGCGGGTGTTTTCTCTTCAGACGTTGCAACATCGAGGACGTGCTGTTGTGGTTACTCCAATTCTGCTTTGCAGTGGATGCATTGCGCTGTCTCGTCTTTTCTGTTTAGCCTAAATTGTTCCCAAACTTTTCCAGTGTTTGTTGTTTTCGGGGCTCTTCTTCTAAGCATTCTCCGTTTCCCTCCATAGCTACAAACTTGGCACATACGCCAGGCGTTAGCGGAAGCGCTAGTGGAAGCAGTAGCGTTGTGCAACACAAAAACTTTCTGACTGGACCACAGCGCTCTGAATAGTTTAACAAAGCTTCGAGGATTTTTAGTAATCGAGGTACTCAAATAATTTGAGGAATTATTTGAGCCCTAAAAACGTCTAACCTAGTTTAGAAGTTCCTCCACATGAATTTGTCTTGATTGGTTTGCACCGGCAGAACAGTTCTCCTTATTCGTAAACAACCTGCCTCACCCTCTTGGCATGACTGAAACAACCCGCCTTAAAGATCTGCCTGTATTCTGGTTCAGTTGCTGGGACGAGAGATTATGCAGCTCCACTGTTTGATTTGAATGTTTGCGTGTGCAGCGCTCGGTCTGCAGACCACGTCTGTCCTGAAGTCGGCTGCACGGTTCGGTTGCTCTTGCCCTCGGGGAAAGCCAATGCCGTCCACCGCTGAATCGGAGAATAGCCACCAGTGTTTTGGCTTCATGTGCGTCCAGTTCAATACCCACAGACACGCCACACGCTGTACAGAGCTCGTGTTTACAGCGCGCTATTGACAAAATGTCACAGGCTGAATGGAACCGCAGAGAACGTGTCTCTCTGTGGAGTCGTTAGCGTGGAGTTTATGTCGCTCTCATCTTGCTTCAGTGACTCATTAATGCTCATAAAAGTAAATCTTTCCCACGTGTCCTTGCAGATATTGAGGATTTGCCACCTGCTGTCCAAGAGAAGCTGTTTGACGACATGCTGGATCGAGACGTGCAGAAAGGTGCTTTTATATTTTCTACGTAGATTTTCAGGAAAATCTTTTCCCACGTGTTGGTTTTGTTCTGGGTATTTTATTTGGAGGAAATAACGTTTTTCTCTTGTGTTCTGTTTTCAACCAGCTCGACACCTCCTGCTTCATCTTCACCTCTTTCTCTAATTGGGTTAATCAAGCTCAATAGCTTCCCTCCTACACATTGAACCAGTGGAGCTGTGTGTGTGTGTGTGAGTGTTGGAGTGTGTGTGTGTGTGTGTGTGAATGTTGGAGTGTGTGTGTGTGTGTGTGTGTGTGTGTGAGAATGTTGGAGTGTGTGTGTGTGTCCTGTGCTGAAGTTATAAAAGGGATCCTTTGGCCTATTTAATCTGAAAACTAGGCCACGTGGGAGGGGAGGTTTATTTTGTTTTGCACAGAAAATATTTGGAACAAACAGCATTTTCATCATATTTTAGCACGTTTTCCATTTCTACATTTTTTTTTTTCCTTTTGTAAAGTAATCTTTGGAGCTAGAGACGGGGGAATTATAAACTTTAAACCTGAAAATTGTCTCTTCCTTTTAAGAAACTCTCCTTCGATGTCCAGCAAAGTTAAGTCGGGTCCTCTGGACGGTTTATTTTTCTGGAAACGTTTCATTTGTCATCCAAAAGACTTCATCAGTCCGAGGAGCCACAACAAACTCGGTCTTATAAATAGCGCCTTACATAGTGGGTCAACTAGTTTGGTGCTCTGATGGTTTCTGGAGTCCGCCCTCTCCCCCGTTGACACGTTTGAGGCAGTCGTGGCCAAAGTGGTTCAAAATATCCTGGTTCATGCTCGATAATCCAGGTAAAAAAATCCAACAATGTTAAGTCAGGTCCTCTGGATTATTGAGCATGCATCAGGATATCACCTCCAATGTGTTGTTTAAATCTGTGAAGCCTGATTTTGATGACTTATTTTGTATTTTTACCTTTTTTTTAATTTTGCCATTTTTGTCCGTAGAGCTAGAAGAGGAATCTCCCGTTATCAACTGGTCCCTGGAGCTGGGGACACGCCTGGACAGTCGTCTCTACGCCTTGTGGAACCGCACAGCCGGAGACTGCCTGCTGGACTCGGTTCTGCAGGCCACCTGGGGAATCTACGACAAGGACTCTGTCCTCCGCAAAACCCTCCACGACAGCCTACACGACTGCTCCCACTGGTGAGACGCACAATCCTACAAATGTTTTCACCGTTTCATACTGAGAATAATTTTCTGTTATCCAGAAGTATTTGTCCATAACTATACCCGACATATGTTGTACCCAAAGACATTTGACCCAGTTTAGATCTAAAGTACACAAGTTTAAAAAAAAGTTTCTTTAATTCCTTTGAGCTTTTTTCGTATTAAAACAAGATTTTGTGCAACTGCTGTTTAGATTAAAAGTGTAAGTATTGTTTGTGGGGGTGGGGTGAACTAAAAGCCAGCTGTAGTTGTCTCTTAGGCTGTCCTGTGTTGTATTTGATCAATTTAGCAATTATATTTTCTATATAAAAGTATTTTTATTCACTTGTGCTTTAATTCATTTGCTTAAAAGTGGATTAATAAAATTCCAAATAATGATACTTTCTTAAAAAAAATTTACAAATATTGAAAAAAATTCAACCTAAGTAATCTCAGGCGGGAAGACCATGCTCCTGAAACGAAATATGTCTAAACTACTTGTTTGTTTTTTTTATTTTTATTACACTGTTCGTTTGTTTTTGACTCCATAAATGAGATCCACACAACCCATTTGATCGTACAGCCGTAACCATCATCTCTGTGTGCACACCTTAAACTGTTCAGCTGCGTCACATTTCTTCAACAGAACATTAACAATAAACGGCATGTGATTTGGATCGTTTTTCACTTCGGGATCGTTACGGTCTTCATAAATAACGGTTACACCCCCACCCATTCACAGACCTGATCCTAACAGTATTTTCTATAAGCATGCAGTAGGTGGAGCGTTTGGGATCATTTGACTTGTAGACTTGGTGCGACTCTTCCTCCTTTCCTCAGAATATTTACTTAATCTCGTCGCACAGTTCAATACAAATGTTTGATAAGTCTGAGAAACTTTGAAGCGCTGTGCTCTTTGTGCAGATTCTTGTGTCTAATCAAGTTATGTCAGACGCACGCGGCTACTCACTAAAAGATTTTAACCTAAAGTTTGCTGTGCAATTAGGAGCTTGTTTGTGATACATTTGTGTTTTTAGGTTTTACACACGCTGGAAGGAGTGGGAGTCCTGGTACTCGCAGAGCTTCGGTTTACATTTTTCCCTCAGAGAGGAGCAGTGGCAGGAAGACTGGGCGTTCATCCTGTCGTTGGCTAGCCAGGTAATTACGAGGCTCTTCACGTTTACCCACTTCCATCCAAGCGTCCATCAAATAAGACGTTGACTCCAGTGTGGCGTGTTGTGAAGCAAATGAGTCGGCGTCTCATGAGAAATGAATAAAAGTTGGAAAATATTGTTACAGAATGAGGTTTACACAAATCAGTGGTGGACATGAGGACATGGTGGCGCCGTCTCCTTTGAGGAAGTTTAGTCACCTGTGCAAGTTGCACATCTGTACGATGATGGCGACGCTCCAAACGCATAGATTTTAGATGCAAAAGTCCCGGGGAGGTTGGGGTGGAGTGATGGTGTATCAGTTCTGGTATCTCCCCCGGCTGAAGTCAACTGGTCACGTGTCAACGTGTACGTCTGATACGTAGATGTTTAATAATTTATTACATGGCATCACCTTCAGTTAGGATGTCCTCCAAGGAAAGTAGACCAGGAAACACTGATGGGTGCTCTCACCTGCAGTCTGTCTCCGAGTTGGGAACACTGTGCCTGTATCAGAGCACGACCTGCTGGGACTGGGTCAAACTGTGGCTCTGGTTCTGTTTATTTGTTAAAAGCAGCTTGAGTTTAATCCCAGTATCATCATTAGATTGGATGGATTGAAAAAAAGATCACAACAAACATGTTTTTTGTTGTTTTTCTTCCCCTTTCACTTTTTTTGCCAGTACTTGACTGTGGTGATGCCATGTGCTTCAAACAGCCCTTAAATCCAGTGAACATTCAGATTTCTTACTGGTTGTAACGATCTTACTCATCACGGTGATCTTTATCTTAAAACCAGCATGTCTTCCCTGTGTAACAGGCGATTTGCACATTGGATGACTTTGGTGTACAAGTCTCTTACTGGCCTGCTTTCGCATTATTTATGTACTTTTATTGGAAGAATGGACGGTAGTTATGCTTTACGCTCTAAGGACTGTTTGCATCTTTATGTTCCTCGTGTGCAAACGGAAAAGGGCAAGAAAACGTTTCGCTTTTCTGCCCCTTCAGCTTGGAATGCCTTGCAATCTGAATTAAAACTGTCAGAACTTGTTACTTTAAGTGCTTTTTGCACATTTTTAAAAAACAAAGGATATCTTAACAGTGCCTGGGTTTCAGATCTTAACTTGCCATTGTTTTAAATTATTATTACAGCTATTGCCCTTTACTGTTATATTGTATGTTTTTATATATTTCTGAAGTCCTGTTCTGTATCTTGTCTTGTTTTTATGATGTAAATTTTTATTTTTTTTTAATTACAGAAATCTGTCGCAGTTATGGAGAACTTTAATCCGTGTTTGTTTCACTTGGTTGTGCACCAGACAACCTCGAGGAGAGATCTGTTGTCCTAGACAAAAATAGGTCATCTATGACGACCGGAAACAGCTTACCTTTTGGAAAAAATAAAATTTTTGAAATGTAAACATGTTTAAATATAGGGGTGATGAGCTTCTGCATCAAGTCAGGAATGCATCGTTTCCAAAATTTCTCTTAGTCTGGAACGGCCCAGATGTTCTGGCTTTTTCACCAGCCCAGAAGGCAGCATCGCGTCTGTAAATCTGGAGCGTGAACAAAGAACCATGACCGACGGATGAAACACTTTGTACACATCACTCCAGATGTGTTTGAAGCTAGCTTTGAACACGCTGGTACATTTCTGAGTAGCTCTGCTGTTTTCTGCTCGGTGTGTTCAGATACAGGAGGAATAATCAGCAGGGCAGTGCTGCTGTAAGGGGGTGCTACTCAGCACTGGAAGCCCTCATCACTACTGCAATTTCCAGATTATTGGGTGCATAAGCTGCGCCCACTAAATTTAAACTAAATTTAAAACTAAATAAAAATGGTACATGTATAGGCTTTGCTTAAGCCGCGGTTGTCCATGTTGT